TTTTTTGATACATTTATGCTATACGATATGCCTTCATGGACGAAAATATAGAACAGAAAAATTGAAAAATTAAGAACAAAAAATGTTGGATACGGAGATGGGTGGATGAAAACCGTCCCGCATTCTCGGCACACTTCATCTGCGTGCATGAGTTGTTCAAAAGGAGTGTCAGTGTGAACCACACTCCCAGCCATGCTTGTACCTATTTGTTTTTCTGTTTTAAATTGAAATAAGATTTGGAGGTAAGTGGGTTTAGGAACAGGTTTCGGAAACACGAACCTGCTCCTAATAGTTAAACTTTGCCAAGGGGGTTTCTAAATCTCCTTCTGAACCGACACAAACTACAAATCCTCTCCATTTAATGTCTACCTTTTTATTCTGTACTGTTCTTTCCTGTTTAGACTCCACTTTGATATGCCACAGATTCATAAACATGTTAGCTTATAGTTTGGCCGTATTTGGCTGCTATCCTCTCAATGTCTTTTCTTTTAATATATTTTTTTAATGTAAATTTTTATGGAATGATACCTGAAAGCAGGTCAGGAAAGGGCATTCAAAGATCCACCAGCAAGATTTTGTTGGTGTCCTGGACAAGCAGCTGCTTGAAGGAATGGGTGTGCTCCTCACTGAGGAAGAACAGCTGAAATGCATACAAAAAGTAAGTTTCTTCTTCATAGAACTCATAGAAGTTGTAGCTCATATATATTTGTCATTCACGTAATGGATCAAATGTCTTTATAGGTATCTATAGAAAAGAAATGGCTTCTTGCGGTGCATGAAGCTGGTCACATAGTGTTGGCCCACTTGTTCCCTCGATTTGATTGGCATGCATTTTCTCAGCTGCTGCCGGGTGGAAAGGTGTGAAATAGCGTCAATGTCCACACTTAAGGTTTATTTATTTGCAATTTCTTAATTGCCTTTTATCATAAATCTGTTCGAGCAGGAAACTGCCATGTCTGTTTTTTATCCTCGAGAGGACATGGTGAATCGAGGCTACACAACCTTTGGTTACATGCAAATGCAAATGGTGGTTGCTCATGGAGGAAGGTGTGCTGAGCGCTTAGTATTTGACGATGACATCACTGATGGAGGTCTTGATGATCTCAAGAAAATTACCAAGGTAACATGAAAGTCTTATGCTACAATCTTATCTTGAGATATAAATTTATGCTCTGCAAAAATATAAAATGAGAAAGGAAAAAAGGCAAAATCTTCCTAGAGTTTCCCTAGTCTAAGTGTTATCCTCATTTCGAGATTCTATACGTGATCTTCCAGTGCTTCATGATCCTATATGACAATAATCTATGCTTTGGAGTAGGTTAAGATGGGAATTTTAAAATCACAACACATTTGAGTAGCTTATCTTATAAACAGATTTTCTTATTATTTTGTTGAACTCGACAACTTTTTAATTCGGTATCTGTTTTTCGTACATGATACATTAAGTTAATCATCTTTGTCATTCACATTGCATTTATAAAATATAATAATAAATATATCCACTTTAATGAACAGAATTAAATTTACCTATTAACTTAACTGGAAAATAAATTTGTCTATCAATCCTGATTGTGATCCACAATGTTATATGATATGAGTTAGAAAAACTTATTATCGTTTGACAAACCTCATATAGACACAAGTGTTGAAGTAATGTAACTAAAAAATTACCAGTCTCCTATAAGATATGAGTATCCTTTTAAGTAAAAATAATAATGATTTCCAAAGTAGTATTTAAATCCACTCTACATCTATAAAAAAATATCATTACGTACAATTTTATTAATAAAATTTAATATATCTATCATTTTTAATTTGCAACATAATAAAACTATCATCAATCGTAGTTGAAAAAAAAAATTCTACCAATAAGTGGATAGTATTGATTTGCAATGTTATGTGATATGCATCAGAAAAATTGACCTCATGTAGCACATGAGTGACGACCTAGTTATTTAAAAAGTTACTGTCAAACCATTGATCACACCGGTATCATTTTAATAAATGAATAATTCAGTTTAAGAAGTACTTGAATATTTTAAATAAAAAATACATGTGTGTTGAATTAAGAAATATTACAAGGGTACTGAAATATGAAATATATGCATATAGAAGTTTCAAAAAATAAACGTGGATGTTAAATTTCAAATTTTCAAGTACTTTTCTGAGTGCAATATTTTATATTTATTTAACATGACATAGTGCGGTAGTGGTAATCTTTTTATCACATTATTGTTGCTCGGACTCCGGTCACTTCATTTCTTTTCAGATTGCCCGAGAGATGGTAATAAGTCCGAATAATCATAGACTGGGGCTCGCTTTCCTGACTAAAAGACATGGACTGATGAATCGAAAGGAGAATTCAGGAACTGAAATAATGAGATACAGGGTATCTATCATATTTAAATACTTCAGTAAGAAAATTTATGTGGGATGATACTTAATCCTGGTTGAAACAATCTGACTAAGCGCCAATCTTGTGTTGACATTAGTGGGATGATCCTCGTGTTGTACCTGTCGACATGAGCCTTGAACTTTCTGAGCTTTTCACAAGAGAGTTGACAAGGGTAAGTATGGTTAGCCTTGATATGGCTTTGCATCGGATAGAATTTATTGCTTTGCAACATGTCGTGCTATGTAATTGTCAGGTGACTGATTTCTGAATGCATTCTCATTTATGGTGCAGACTAGTATGATTTGGAAATTGATGATGTGAATTAATTGCAGTTTTACCGGCATGCAGTTCTATTATAGTTATCCACTATGTTGTATAAATTTAAGGGAAGGGCTATTGTCATAGTCTCCCACTTGAAATGCCTATTCATATCAAGATCAAGTGTGACAATATTTATCTCAGTAGATTTAAAAAGTTTGGTTAAGTTTGAAATTACCTGAATTAAATACGTAACAGGTGAAGGAAATTAGATCACAGAAGGATTCGCTGGTATAAATAAAGAAGTTAGAATAGACGGGAGTCATGTTCGTTAAGTTTTAATTTTCTCTGTTTTTATTTTCTTCTTTGAAGTAACAATGAATATGATTTTGATTGACAGTACATTGATGAGACAGAGGCACTTGCTATGAAAGGATTGCGAGAAAACAAGCATATTCTGGAAGAGATAGCTCGAATACTGTTGGAGAAGTCGAGAATAACTGGACAAGTAAGATGCATTTCTTGTTTTGGATATAAATGAAGTGATATTAAAATTGAAAATTAGATGTATGGTAATGTCCTGCTTGGTATATTAAGTTGACCCAAAAATTACATTCTTTTAGTTAGCTTTTATATTTCTGGCAACTGTTTTGGGGTGAAGAACACTAGGAAACAATTCATAATTTTCGTCCCTTTCATTTCCAGGAAGTAGATGATATAATAAAAGGGTTATCACCAATTTTGTTTGAAGATTTCCTGGAACCTTTCCGGTTTGGTGTCGAAGAGGTAAGCGCCTTTTTGCAATTATATTCATAAGATATTGTCTTGGGATCTTTTACATGTCACAACTGATATCCTAACTTCATGCACGGCATCATAAAATTTTGATCTTTTCACCTGGTCCTAAGCTGTTTGGTTCACTTGGTTATAAATTTTCCAATCAAATATCCAATCACTTAACCCATCACTTTTTTTTTTTTAACTCAAAATTTAACTCAAACCGTCTATCATCAATATTATCAATATAATTAAATACCAATAATCCTTACACATTACATTTATTTTAGTTTATTATTCATTCACTCGCATAATTTTAACTACTCGTCACTTCCAATCACCACTTTCATACTTTAACATCAAGTCAACTTTTATTACTTAATTTTAAATATTATTTAATACAAACTTAATATTCCGCTCAAACCTAATCCATACAACCTTTTCAAATCTAACTATGGTTAACCAGAAGAATCGATCAATACCAACAAGATATCCAAGAACACCCTAAATGCTTTGACCAAAGACTGCTATTATAGCAATTCATATTCTATTAGTCTAATATTTAGCAAACACGCAACTTGACTTCAAAATGACTTGTCCTACTTTATGCTTGTTATCTTTGATCTCTTCAGGGTTATGTTCTTGATTATCACTTTAATTTTACTCTCTCTCTCTCTCTCTCTCTCTCTCTCTCTCTCTCTCTTTCTTTAATTTCTAATATGCAGGGTGAACCAATGCCGCACAATGACCGACTTAAGTGGTCTACGCTCGACCTCTACCCAGCTCCAATGCACAGATGTTAGAACTGTTGGCTAAATACATGCATCTTCAAAGTTCAAACACATGCCAAGAGTCGCAGCTTTCTTTTGACCAGGTATAACCAGTGAGCACCTTCGGCTGCAAGATTTTTTTTGACTTATATTTAGTGTAAAAAAATAGAATGACATAGAGAAAATACACAACTGTGTGTATGTCAATCAGTTGGTGAACAATTTGTTTGTTGTTAGGATGTGAGATGGACATTCTGTGATCATTCAGTATGTACCAAATGAATGCATCTTCGATATATATTCCTCCTCTTTTATTTTTGCGAAAAGAAAAGGGGAGGCTAATAAATCATAACACAAATTTTACTTGGATCTATATTAGAGAACATTGTCCTCGCACACCATTAAGTGGGGGGAGCGCCGAGAGAAGGCCTACTCCTCGATGTTGTTCCTGCCATGGGTGATGCCGATATGGGACAGTGACGAGATCCTGCATGAGATCGGGCACATGAAGTACGGTGGGACGTCGATTTTGGACATTGTCGGAGATGAGTTGAATTATTTTGTGGAGAAAATATTTTCAGATGTTTGATTTATTTATTTTGTAGAAGAATTAGATGTTTCGCTGATGTTTATAATAATATATGTTTAGTATATTAGCATTTTTTTTTTTTCCATGTCACGGATCTACTAACATAAACCTATAATAAACTACAAATAAACTAAACTTAAATTTAAAGAAGAAAAATTTAATAAATATATATATCTATCAAAGGTGGAATAATTTAAATTAATTACTTTGACTTTGTAAATAAATAATTTGACTTAGAAATATGGTAAGAAACACTTTCATATTTATACATAAAAAAATAAAAATCAAAAAGTCGTGCAATTTGGTTAATAGAACGACTTTTTATATAAATAAATTGGTGCCATTTTAAAATTTTTTTTGTAATAGATGTTGCAATAAAATTCCGATTCTTCATATTAATTGCGAATTACTGGATTTTTTATTCGTTTGGTAACAAACCATAACACGTGTTTTTTAAAAAACATCTATTAAATTTCTTTTGTTTTTTTAGAAAATATTATCTGAATATGCACGATAAAATTGTAAATGTAATTACAAAATAAAAATTAATTACAAAAAAAATTATTATGATATTTATCACAATGTTAAAATAGAATTCTATTTATCACCATCAATAACAAATCACGTTGATTTTTATTCATTTGGTAACTAACCATATACCAAAGTATTTTTTATCGTATTTTCAAAAAATCATTTAATCAGGAGGATTATTTTAGAATTCTTTAATTTATCAATAACTCAACAGATACAATTTTTTAAAAGTTTAAACGCACTTAGTTTTTAAAGTTGGCTGAAATTTGCTTGTTGATTCCAACTTTGAACAGCTCGCAAGCTGGGTTGGGCGAGGTCGTGATTTAAATTTTTAGTTTGAACAGCTATGAAGCTGGCCAAAACTTGCTTGTTGATTCCAACTTTGAACAACTCGTTGGGTTGGGTGAGGTCGCGATTTAAATTTTTTAGTTTGAACAGCTATGAAGCTCGCTAAAACTTGTTCACTAATTTCAACTTGAACAGCTCGCAAGTTGGGTTGGGCGAGGTCGCGATTTAAAATTTTAGTTTAAACAGTTACGACGCTGGCTAAAACTTGCTCGTTGGTCCAACTTTGAACAACTAGCAAACTGGGTTGGGCAAGGTCGCGATTTACAATTTTAATTTGAACAGGTACGAACCTAGTAAAAACTTGCTCGCTGATTCCAACTTTGAACAGCTCCCAAGTTGGGTCGGGCGAGGTTGCGATTTAAATTTTTAGTTTGAACAGCTACGAAACTGGCTAAAACTTGCTCGCTGATTCCAACTTTTTTTATTTGAACAGCTACGAAAAGTAGCAAATAAATTATATGATTATAATATCTACATTGTTTTAAAATCAAATAATTCATTAGGTACTTAATTTTCAAACATTTACAATAAAAGTATTATGTCAATCCTTCACATTTTTATTTCGTGCTCAATAAATTAGACAATATATAAAATAGATACATTTTAACTACAATATTTTATGATTACATATCATGCTTTAAAAAAATATCTATATATAAGTTAATAGTAATAACTAAATAGATATTACTCTTAAGTTTGAATACTTCATATTTTTATTCAAAGTCCTTTACATCTTTGATGTTATGTAAAGTCTTCTTAATTTTCATTGGAAATATTTTTAAAAAAAATTAAAAACCCCCACATTTGGCCGATATATTTAAGTTTAAAATTCTGTTGTTACGCGATTGTGAACAACGATTTGCAAAGTTGATTTAGATGATTGTTGTTGATGATTAGAACGTAAAGCATGCATTAAATATTCAACAATGGCCTCGGTCCGAGGTGAACCGAGGTGAAAAACTTCTATGAGCTGTTACATGTTGCATAGTAAAAATTTCAGTTCGGAGATCCCCGTACAAGTATCAGGAATGACTATTTATAGTAACTTTTTACGATACATATTGGGATTCGTGCGATGCTTTTTGCATAAAGCTACTTTTGGTAGGCGGCATCGTCAGCGGGTCCCACTTAAATAATGTAAGATCTCGTGACTCGCGAAAATGACGTGTAGGTGTCTCGTCATCGATTTAGGAGGTGATGACCTCGGTTCATTGCAACTTCGGTTTTGGGTTGACCCCGGTTGTGAAGGTCACCTCGGTCTTCTATAGCTTTGTCGGTTCAGTAAGCGGACTGGGGTGAATGTCGGCTGAGTTATTGGTGGCATCAATCCACTAAATACGCAGTTCGAGGCTTCTAACTTTGGATTACCGAGTTGGATGATAACAAATTCAATTAATTAAATCAATATCACGCAATGAAATTTCTTTGTTTTGGTTGTTAATGAGAAAGATTTACTTCCTAACTAAGTCAGCCACACACAATTTCTCCAGCTGCAGTTCTTATGCTAGACATTTTTTTTAGACGAGATTTTTGACAAGGAAGTTGCCTTTTTTTTCAGAGAATTTATGCACGTGTGACATGTGACAGGTGAGAACTCCTCGACTGATATGAAAGTCAGTTCCAACATTAGATTGTTATCAATGCCCACAATAACTGAATTATTTATTTTCATTTTTATTACTACTAATTATTTAATATGCATCATATTTATTTATGAGATTTGCATAGTATTTATCTGATGTGCATAATTTTTATTTATCGGATGTTTTGTCTTATTTCTCATAGGAATTAATTATGTCAATTAATTAGTTGTTTTATTTACATGGTAATTAATTATGCAAATCCTCCCTATATATAATTTCAAAATGCGCGGAACCTACATGGCTGCTTCTGGTGCTTCGTAATCCTACTTGACGAAGAATCATGCTTCGTAAATAGGTTTGGACAAATAATATTGATATATTAATAAATAATAATTTAGGTTTGGACATTCCATAAATATTATTTAGCTAACTTAGGTATTTTAATATCAATTGTACTAATATAACCCTTTAATTTTGGGTGTTGTTAAATACCGCCCCCTTTTTAATTATTACCGCCCCCCAAAAAGACAGTTTTACCCTTTTTAATATAAAAAATAATTTATTTTTTTTTGGGCTGGCCGGCCTTGAATGCCGGCCGTAGCCGTGCCGGCCTTCTTTTTGCCGGTAGGCCGGCCCATGCACGGCCGGTTTTGCCGGTTGGCTGGCCCATGCACGACCGGTTTTTCCGGTTGGCCGGCCCATGCACGGCCGGTTTTGTCGGCCGGCCGGCCTTTTTTTTTTTATATATATATATATCAAAATTTTAATTATATACATTATATTAGAATTTAGATTTATGTTATAAATTAGAATTTAATATCTCATAGTTAGAATTTAGAAATTGTTAAAGTGTAAATTATAACTAATTAACTTATAGAATTTTATTATTATTATGTTAGAACTCATTAATTATTATGTTATATAACATAATATTAATTATCTCTAATAAAATACTAATGAGTGATGCTATTAAAAATTATAGTTCTATTTTTTTCTTAAATTCGCTCCTTTTCAATTCGGTAATAAATTTTAAAATACAAAATAATATTTTGACTTAAATTTGAAATTCATAAATACCAATTTAAATAACAAATTGAACGAAAAATATCAGATTTTGTTAGAGTAATTTATTGAGACCGATTAATTCAATATGATTTGACCGAATTTTGTGACAACAGATTGTTTGACACTTTTCTCAGAGTTATATGATTCGTGTGAATATTATAGTAGGAAAAGCGTTCTAACAAAATATTAATAAATTCTAATTTATATAGTAATAATCTATACCATAATAATTTCTAACTTCTAACATAGTAGTACTAAATATTATTTCATAAGGCTATCAATTCTAAATCATACCATAATAATATCCAACTTCTAACATAATAGTAATAAATTATAATTTATAACATAATCAATTTTAATCTATAATACAATAATTTCTAACCTCTAACAAAATAGCAATAAATTAATCAATTTTAATCTATAATACAATAATTTCTAACCTCTAACAAAATAGCAATAAATTTTAATTAATAAGACAATAAATTCTAATTTATAATACAATAATTTCTAACTTCTAACATATTAGTAATAAATTATAAGATAATCAATTCTAATATATAACATAATAATTTATACTAATATATTTTTTTTTCAAACAAGTATCATTTCTGATTTATAATAATATAACTTATACTAATTATACTAATATCATTTTTTTAACTGTATATGTTGTTAGTTCATTTTATCCTCAACAAGTGCATAACAAACATAACCTTAATTTAGGGTTTAGGGGTTTAGGGTTTAGGGGTTTAGGGGTTAGGGTTGAGGGTTTAGTGGTTAGGGTTTAGGGTTTAGGGTTTAAGGTTTAGGGTTTAGGGGTTTAGGGTTGAGGGTTTAGTGGTTAGGGTTTAGGGTTTAGGGTTTAGGGTATATTATGTTTGTGATTGTCATTCTGTTAGAAATTATTGTATTATAAATTAGAATTGATTGTCTTATGAATTAGAATTTATTGCTATTTTGTTAGAGGTTAGAAATTATTGTATTGATTAAAACTGATTATGTTATAAATTATAATTTATTACTACTATGTTCGAAGTTGGATATTATTATGGTATGATTTAGAATTGATAGCCTTATGAAATATATTTAGTACTACTATGTTAGAAGTTAGAAATTATTATGGTATAGATTAATACTATTATAAATTAGAATTTATTACTATTTTGTTAGAACACTTTTCCTACTATAATATTCAAACGAATCATATAACTCTGAGAAAAGTGTCAAACAATCTATTGTCATAAAATTCGGTCAAATCATACTAAATTAACCGGTCTCAATGAATTGCTCTAACAGAATCCGATTTTTTTCGTTCAATTTGTTATTTAAATTGGTATTTATGAATTTAAAATTTAAGTCAAAATTTTATTTTGTATTTTAAAATTTATTACCGAAGATAATTAGTTATAATTTAT